AAAAATGTGAGCAGTTAGTATCATTTCTAACTTTTTCAACGAGTCAGCTATCGACTTTGCTTTGAAACGCACATCGTTTGTGAAATTGTGTGAACTAGCAAGTTCTTCTAGCGTTAATATAATTTCTATAAAACCTGCATTTGTTGGATTATTGTAATGTCCAAACATTTGTATAAGACTTTTGTCCTTTGCCCACCAACGGGTTTCTCCAATTGAAGACAACATTTTCTTTTTTTTGTCAGTCACAGTATCCCAAACTGCCATTCTTTTATACGACTCACGAATAAACACTGCACATTCATTAAGGACGCCGAATAATGAAACTGCTTCAACGCAAATGCTAGTGGTATTAGCCATCACCAAATTCAGAACATGTGCATAACACCAAACATGCACTTGACCAGTCAATTCTTTTTCCATGTGCGCTGAAAAACCCTTATATTGGCCTTGCATATTTGAAGCACCATCAATAGCACTACCAACACAATTTTTCACATCAATACCATTTTTAACAAGTAATTCAATTACAATTTGGTATAAGTTGGCACCTGTACCAGAGGTACAATTTATTATTCCCAATAATCTTTCTTTTACATCTTCGGCAACATATCTGACAATCACACTTAACTGATCGTGAACATTGATATCTTGCGTTGAGTCAATTTTGATGGAAAACATCCCAGCCTTATTGACTTCTTCAGAAATCTTCTTTTTCATCAACGAAGATATTGACTCTATAATATAATTCACAGTAGTTTTTGATAAGAAGGTATTGATTGATCCAGAACGACCGGCTCTATTTTGATCGGTTTTCTTAAGGTGAGCTTTACGGCTTAATTCTATAGATTTATCTATGTGAACTTTGAGAATTGGGTCGAATTTTGAAAGTAACAAAAGAATTTCCAAAAAATTGCCATGGTCGGCACTGGTATCATTCAGAGTGTAGGCAGCTTCAGCATCTTTGGCCCCTCTGAAACTTTGACCTCGTTTTCCTAAAGTTTTAACTGTTTCGACAACTCGTTTCAAGACTTCTCTACGTTCATTAATTTCTTGCCTTTTTTTGGAGGTGTCGGTAAATATGCTGCGTATATCTTTCATTTGACTTTTTAATAAAAACGATTCTGCAGATGCTTGATGGGCCATCGATTTTTCGTGTTCTCTTATCCGATCGTATATTCTGCGAGGATCGATTTTGCAACCTTGCGTGAATGAATTGTCTTCTTTGCTGAATGCTAAACAGAATGAGCAGAAAAATGTATTATTCTCTTCGCAACACGAAATCCATTGTCTTCTGATTTTGCTGCCATTAAAATCTTCTCAATAATAAGCTAAACTTGGGTTGAATTTCATTTTGTCCTTTTCAGAGGGTTGTATCGGATGAATTTTAAAAAAAGTATGATAGTCGTTGTTAGATGGTCTTTTAAATTTGTCAACGGTCCCAGGTTCTCGATTTTCGTGTTCGTTCTTTTCAAAAGCATTTACTTTGTCGATCAATGGCAGCGATTGTTCGTCTCTACTTCGATGTGACTCAAGCATATCATCAGTCTAGAAGCAAAGCAATTTGTTGTTTGAATGTTTGATATCAATCAAAATAACAGAAGGTACCTAAACACAGAGTAAAAAAAGAATGTTACCGTTACCTGATTTATCTCATCAAATTGACGAGAAATTGATTCATCGCTAACTAAATGATTTACTTCACAGTCACAGTCCCCAAATTCTGTAATCTCTACAAAATCTGCGAAAGTAGAAGTAGAGGTAGATGGAACTGCTGAGCTTACACCTTCGTTCGGCTCGGTTGTCTACAACAAATAATTTCATGAGTCAAACGACATGCAATGCACTGCCTCACTGCCTACTAAAAGAATTGCTTGACGGCCTTGGCGCCATCGCCCATCAGTGTATGAGTTTACTATAATTTACATATTTTGCAGACTTACCTTCACACCAATACTTTTAATCATATCTCCGATATTATGACACTGTGCCGCTTCATTATCCCTCTTTGTCTTTTTTCTATCTCGTTGTTTTTCAGCACCATCTTTTACACGTTTGCTCATTTTCCTGCGCGGCCAAAGCGTAACTGCTAACTACACACCGAATACCGATAAACCAACACGAATACTGTAGGTGAGCGTGAGCATGACTCTGCCTGCTTAGTGCGCGCGCAGTCACGGCCCACGGGTCAGTTATCGTAACAATGGGTACGTTCAACGAACATAGCAAAAGTTAGCAGCTGATTTAATTTTGCGGTCAGCAAATGTAGTGTGTTGAACGCTTCTAAATTTGACATTTTTAATTCAAAATTCAACATAACCTTATTACTTATATGTGTACGTGATGGATCAAATATTATTTACTTAATTTCTTGATAGCGCTAATAACCATAACCTTATATAAATACATTAATTATGAGAACGCACAATAGCATAGTAATTTAAATCAAATATTACTGAAAATTCCCCATGTTGTACCACAATATTCAGAAAGCACACATATAAAACACTTTCGTTGTTCAAGGCATGTCAATTTAAAGGTTGGTACGGAATTATAGGTTACAGAGTATATAGTTCAATGGTTAAAGCAAATGTACTGTCAACAAAACTTTTAAATTGCCATGGTATCCCGCCTTTTTTACGCTGACAGCAGAAGTTAGAATTAAAAATTGATGCTGAGCATTGCGGTCAGCTAAAGTAAGCAATTGCTAACAGCGGTAGTTAGCAATGCGTTCAATAAAATTTTGCGGTCAGCAGCTAAGCCCGTTGAACGTACCCAATGTTCGTATACTGCGTCATCATAATAACTGTCTCTGTATTTCTAAATTTAAAAGGGAAAATGCCAGGAAAAGTAATCCATACAGGGATGGAGTCGATATATTCGGTTTGAATTTTGTAAAACATTTAAATTTCAATGTTTGATGTTTGTACAACCCGAACCCGGCCAAAACCATCGAGGCGGCGGCCCATCGGGTTTTGCCCGATTACCCGTCGGCCCAATCCGGGCCTGCATTTCTATATACTTAACTTGACTTAAGCCCATCACACAATGAAAAAAATAAGGAATAAGAAATATGAAATAACAAATAAGGAATAACAATTTTCAATCTACTGATCTTTATGGATTTGCACGCAACATTGAAATAAACCTAGGAAATAAGAAATAATAATTTCGTTCAGTCGAATTGTTATTCCTTATTTCATATTGCGAACCAATGACATTAGAAGAGGCGTGCACGCCTATTCTATATTTATTATTTTATCTCGTTAACCTAAAATAAAACAAGTATGAGGTGTTGTTTTTGTGAAGTTATGAACTTGGAATTATATTTGATGTCGCGTCGGTGCAATTAGCCTGCTATTGCCTTACATTTAGCTGCCATTATAATGACATAAATTCAAATGGCATGAGTGTTCTGATTGGCTTATAGTCTGTTGCTAATTGTTTGTTGTGTTTTGCGTGCACGGCGTCACTATTTCCTATTCCATATTTCATATTTCTTATTCCTTATTTTTTTCATTGTGTGATGGGCTTAAGCCACACTACCATAGAATACCTGATTATCTAGAATCAGTAGAATTGGTAACGTCAATACAAACTTAAACCGGCCCTACATTATCAGTTCCAGCAAGCGCCGCAACTGTCAATTGAACTGCCATGCCAAGTAACTTCCACCCTACACATGAATCAAAAAGCATCATCACTGTAGTGATCTAGAGACTTTAACATAATTTAAAGTCACTCTATCTCAGAGTGACTTCAAGTTTAACCTTTGACTATAATATTTTACATTCAAAGGTTTAACATTATTACAGCGTTTGTTGATATATGTTCAAAAGGCTACTCGACGTCAATCCTTTTTGATCGCCCGTTACTAATAAAATTTAAAACCCTCGAACCACTCATCTGTATCTTTGAATATACCTACATATAATCAAAGTTCGGTATTAGTGCAATATTCGGTGTCGTTTAGTTGTATTTCTATATACAGAGAATTTTTCTTAAATTTATATACACATATATACAGGGCTATGTATATAATAATAATAATAATAATAATATATTTGTGCTAACGTGTTTGATACACTTACATTTGTCAATAAAACATTAAAAAAAGTTGAGTATAAATGGTAAATTGCAAACAAGATTCACAAACTACAAAAAAATCACAAACTTTACATAAACTCACCCTATATGCGTAAAACTCATCAAAATAATGAGTGCCGAATGAGAAATTTTTTAATTTTTAGTTTAAATTTATTAAACGGTAGAGATTTTATGGTCGAGGGAAGACGATTGCATAATGATTGAGATTGGTAGGTACTTGATACCATTCAGGGTTTTAACTAATCTGCAAAATTTTACTCCCAAATTGCATTTTAGACGAGTGTCATGTGAGTGTACCTCAGTCTGTTATATGATCGACACGATGTGTTTCTTAGCATAACAAAAAGCCTCTAGGATATAATAATAATAATACCTTTATTAGAAATTAGAATAGGCGTAATTCAGCCATAGGGCTGCTCTTCCACTAAACCTATACAACTGGTAAGCACAAATTAACAACGCATTTACCATAACGGTGGCATATAATAGAGCATAGACACATATACTTTAAAAAAACGATGTAAATGCATGGAGGCAACAGATGGCTATAAGCATTGTTTAAATATTTTAACAATGCTATAAGCAACCACTGTACTCACAATAAAAGTTCTCCCGAAGGTCTGCAAAGGTCACGAAAGTGATTAAAAATGTTTTGTGTAATGACGGTACCACGAACTTTCCAGAACGCTGCGCTTATTTTAAACGAAAAGCGTCGAGAGGAGTCTCAAAACTTACAATACCTACATTCGAGAAGATTTTTAAAACGGATTTCGGGAACCTTAGAGATTTATTTTTAGTTTTTTCATCTTGTCGAGTCTATTACCAAGAAAAGTGTTTCGTAAAGCCGCAATCAGCTGCATAAGCAATTTTTTATACAAAACCACATTGGCTCTTTTATAAGATTCTTTTGGATGTATTTTGTTTTGGTAATTCGTTAAAATGTATGTCTGACTCTTACAATAAACACTTTTAGAGACACGAACCAGATTCGAGCTTGCGATCACAACATTGCTTATCATTTGAAGGATTTGCAAGGTACTTAATGGACAAGAGCAATTATGCGTTTATAAATGAACAAGAAGTGCCTGATGAATCTGATATGAATCGACCAATGTCAACGTATTATATAGCGTCGTCGCATAATACATATCTAACAGGGCATCAACTTAAAGGGGAGTCTTCGGTTGAACTTTATAGTCAGGTAGATTAATAAGAAGTGTTTGTATCTCAACTGCTAAGTATTTTTTAGGTTTTACTGACCGGATGTAGATGCGTAGAGTTAGATTGTTGGGATGGAGATGATGGGAATCCGATGATATATCACGGACACACGTTCACAACAAAAATTCCTTTTAATGCGGTTGTTGAAACAATTGAGAGAAACGCATTTATTACGTCTCCATACCCTGTGATACTATCAATTGAGAACCATTGCTCATTGCAACAGCAAAACAGAATGGCACATATTTTCCAGGTGAGAGGTATTGCGTTGTATAGCAAGTTATTCATCATAAAATCTTAGAGAATTTTTGGAGACAAATTGGTATCAAACTTTTTGTTTGATACGGATTATAGTGATGAACCAACGTTGCCTTCACCAGAACAGTTAAAGTATAGAATCCTTATTAAAAACAAAAAACTTATTATGGAAGTGCCTCTACCCTTGCCAAGTTATTCTGCAATGCCAACTCCAATCACCAGGTTAGTCCGTTTTATAATGCATATTAATAGGTACATCATACTTTTAGACCATCTTCAGGAATGAGACATTCTGTGCCTGGCCGTACTAGTTCAATAATCAGTAACACCAGCAGTAGTTCCTTTAACGACGATTTTAGTGACGATGATTATGACGATGAAGATGATGAAGACAATATTGATGGTAAGTGGCTCAATAAATAACAAAAAAAACATGCGATATGCTATTACAGAAAAGGCTATGCATACTATGCTTTCAACAACGGACTCCCCTCGCTCATTTGGGATAGGTCACGTATCGTCTAAAACAAGCTCTGCAAAACGAGGTTTGCCAGATGATAAACTCAAAAAAAGAAGCAGTCAAATTTCAAAAGATTTATCGGATATGGTTGTTTATATACAAGTAAATTAGATAGGAATTAATTTGACTACTATACTATATACGAGTGTTTTTAGGCAATAAAATTTCGTGGTCTTAATACCATCAGCCCAAGTAGTTCTGTTAAACAACGCCCAAAACCTGGAATGTCCAGTTCTGGCAGTTCAATAGTTACGACGATTAGTAGTTCTATATCAAATGTAAGTTCAACCGCTGGAGGGCCCTCAATGGAAACCGAAGCAATTTTACATGAACCGGAACCAAAACCAATTCGCCCAATTACTCACCCCTGCTTTCAATGCTCTTCCATAAATGAGAACACTGCGAAAAAGTTATGTCGCAAGCAATCACTGGCATTAGTAGCACACACTCAAACCCAGCTAATGAGAACATATCCTGCGGGAATGAGAATAGATTCATCTAATTTTAATCCTGTGATATTCTGGTCGTTTGGTATACAAATGTCCGCTTTAAACTATCAAACTGAAGATATTGCCATGCAATTGAACACAGCCATGTTTGAAATGAATGGCAGGTGTGGATTCGTAAGCAAACCTAAAGTGATGTGGGATAAATCACACGTAATGTACCGAAGATTTAATCCTTGGGATAAGACCTTTGACGGTTTACATTCGGCACAGATTGTTATAAATATCGTATCCGGTCAGTACGTGAATCAAGGAAATGTTACTACCAGTACTTATGTGGAAGTTGAAATTATTGGAATTCCAGTAGACTGCAATAAGCAAAAAACAAAAATTATGCAAAAGAATGCTTTGAATCCTATTTGGAACGACACGTTTCATTTTCGGGTCATGTTCCAAGGGTTGGCGTTTGTGAGATTTTGTATAGTAGATGCCACAAGCAATCATGTATTAGCTCAAAGAATACTTCCTCTCAAGTGTTTGCGACCAGGCTACCGGCACTTAAGGTTGCGCTCGCCTCAAAATCGGTCTTTAAATATGTCTACATTGTTTATATACTCGCGCACCGAGGAAGAAAGCATCGAAAATACAGATACAAGCGATTCGTTAGATCGAAGTAAAAAAGACGGAAAGGCACAAAGTGACGTAAGCGCCGATAATACATACATTGGAATATCCGGCACGCCTCTTTGCGTTAAACGACGAATGTTTTTTCTTATGGTTTATGGTGTCGTTGCTGAAGAACCATACACCATACTAAAGGTTACTCAGGAAAGTAGCACCCAAGAAGTTCTAGCTTTGGCTTTACAGAAAGCAAATATATCTGCCGACAAAATTAACGATTACATTATAGTAGAAGAAGTAGCAAGAGGGTGGGAAAAGAAAGATCACGATTTGCCATCAACTCAACGTATATTAGATTTAGACGAAAGACCGTTACAGGCGCAATCTAAATGGAAAGGAGAGGGAAAATTTATTTTGAAACGTATGGGGGACGATCCGAGCAGTCGGGCTTGGTTATCGTCGATTCGGAGCGTAGCCAATCGGGAACGCGAAGCAAGAAAATCAGATGGAGCACCAAGTAATGCGTGGGAAGAAAACGACACTTTCCTAGTATGTATATACAATGTATCGCCAGAAATACCTTACTGCATCCTCAAAGTGCCCCTCAATGCTTGCTCACAAGATGTAATTGCTCAGGCTCTGGTAAAAGCACGAAGACTGGAAGAACCTACTAATTTTGTAATCGTTGAAGAATTAGAATGGGGCGGAGTTAGTCATAATTTACAACAACGAGCCCTTGCTGATGATGAAAACGTATACAGTGCTCAATCACATTGGCAAACAATCGGCAGATTTATAATGCAAGAACGTACTCACGCTACTCCCACAAGTTTGCGAAAAAGTAGAGTTACAACTAGTTTACGATTGGCAACCTTAGATCGAATCAGTCGGGGACTGAATGCGGCGCGTAGCGTAGCCACAAACAGTATTAAAGCGCCTGTGCAAGCTGCACTGAGTGATCCTACCACTTCGAAATGGAAAAGCAAATCTAGCGAAGATAAAAATAAAGGTTTTGTGCGCGGTAAGGTGAGTTCTGAAAAAGAAATGCTGCAACCGCGTTCTCAGTGCCAACGCGAAGTACATTCGGAAGGTGAAACTCTCAGTGACGATGATTCCAAAGACTCAGATCTTCTGGCTGCTGTTTCGCGTCTTAAAAAAGTATCTCTTCGCAAATTCAAGGAGTGGAAATCATGACTCCTAGACAAAATATCATAGAGTGGTTAGATCTTTATAGAAGTTTACCTCTGTTTCATTATTAAGAGGATGTTGAATGTTAAATCAATTTTTTGTAATGGTAAAACAGAACTTACTTAATTAAACAAGATCACTTTTAGTATCTTATCCTAAATTACTTTTCAATGATATGACAATCAGCCACATTGATGAAACTAATTATAGTTTGATTTAACATTTAACTTCTTTCTCACCAAGAAACACCATCAGAGGTGTTATATTACTAGTTATATGTTAGAAGTTTAATTTAAAAAGAAAGGGAACAAACGATATGTAAAGTAAGTACGTATCAACTTTACACAAAACGCATATTGTAATTATTCTTAATTATAATAATACACCTAACCTGTATTTATAAAGTACCTATCTAATTAACTTTCTTTGGAGAACTAGTAGTGAATGAAAGGCAGGTACCTACCAACATGTAACCTATACGGATGCGGATATTTATTTATTCAAATGTCTATGTCAATGTGGCAATGGTGCGATGCTTATTTGTCGTTACCTATACTTGATATTGTTTACGCCATACAATGAGTTTATTAGTATATAATTCGTTTGCTGTAGAATGCAACTTGTGATATATTAAGAAGGTTTTTACTAAATGTGTGACACTGCGACGTTACCACTATTATCATTATGGTAATTGGTAGGTACATCTAAAAAAGCCATAAATCATTCTTAACGTTGAAAAAACTACTGCTCTAGATTTTGTTCACAATCTCAATCTCTTCTTTGTCTATAGTGTCATAGTCGTAATGTCAGGTGTAACCATTTATTCTGCATCCGTATAGCTCCACTACTGTGATTCTAAAGTTTTCACACTTACAATGCAATGGTGCTTGTTTACACATCCCGTCTATCATTATTTATATAATAAGTAATTAAGTAAAAGCTGTGTCTTATACTGTGTGATGTTATATTTTTAGATTGTTTGTAATTTACAAAGTCTACTAATATGTTTCAAATTTTACGTTTTAGTTCTAATGATTCTTATTATAAATACTTACCTTTAATTTATTTGTTAGTTTCACTGTCATTGTTATACACTAATGAAAACGGTAATTGATATCTACTGGACATTCAAAGTAGCTAGAACTGTTCTCCATCAACCAAAAGCGTTTGGGGTCCTCTTAAATTGAACTTGGAGAGTAAGACTGTAATGTCCATACGTTGGCAACCTAAAATCACAGATATACCTACATTTGTATATGTTTATCTGTTCTAAAATGAAAAAAAGGTGATTTAACTAAGTCATACAATTCTAAAATACATCAATTATTATTTCTCAAATTATAACAATCCAGTCTTAAGCTTCAAGTTATTTTGTATGGTCAGTTTATATAATAACATTTTAAAAGAGAACAACATATATCTACCTATATACTACTTAAACACTTGTGATGATAACTTCTAGTCAAATTTTTACAAAATCACAGTGTGGGAAAGTGCCATACTTTTTGTTGTATAGATAAATAGTTCTGTGTGTGACCATTTCTTGAGTGAACTTGCGACCAGTCTAGTCCGCACTCCCAAGATAATGGATGCACAACACTGGGTTTGCATCAAAAGATACCCGCTAGGTAGGTTATACATATATCAAAATTATTTGAATTGAGTGATGTTCTATAAATAAATTAACAAAGTAAGATGTACAGAAAAATGGAAGAGATACAATATGTAATTACAATGCTTGTAATGTGTAAGATATTTTTGTGTAACGTAAATTTGAATTTGTCAATGTATAAACAGAACAATAACATGCAGGAATTGAACTACGGATTTTAGTAGTAGCCCTGTTAACAATTTTCAATATTTGCACATAAGGATTGTTAGTGTTAAAAGTATGAATGCTCCATTTTGTCTTGTATACTACTTATATGAATAATAAGGAAAAGTATTCTTTTAGAAGTAAATACTTTAAAAGATCTTTCAAAGTTATGATGTATACATAACTTAAACCCCATTTATATAAAGCACAACATATCTGTTTTGTTTTCTAAATAATTGCAATTTTATAGTCAAGGTTTTAAGAATTAAAAGTAACAATAATGTTTAAAAGTTGTGTATTTTTGTTGTTAAAAGATTAATTTCTAGATTTACAGAAATTCTTATCAAATGTTATCTCTATACAAAATTTTTTAACGTAATGTACATATTATAGAAACTCATATCTGCTTAATCTTACCATAAAATATCTAAACATTTATTATTTATTAACATATCATTGCCAGAAAAAGTAAAAGATGTATCTTATATTTGCATTATTATATGCAATATTTTTGATGTCCTTAATGCATTCATACGAAATTATTAAATTGCTGTTAATTGGTACAAATTTTAATTTGTTCTTACGTAACATTGTTATACTACTTACAAATTTATAAAATATATATTGTACTTAAATTGTGATGCGTAATTAATTATGCGATAGGTATGTTCCAAACTTGACTATTTCTTGTAAAAATAGGAAGAAGCAGTGCTCGATTTGAGGTGCGCTCGCCATCGCAGGTCACAGGTGGCGGTGTATTGGAATGCTTATGTTTATTACATCCTCATTTGTTGTAGGTAGTTACTTTGGTTGCATAAAATTAGGCGTCTTTAGGAGACTTTTTTCATGTAAAAGTAGACATTGGAAATTCCTATAGGAAATCCATATGTCTACTTCTACATGAATATCACTGTAGCAATTAGCATGGGATAAACGTTTTGCAGATTGTTGCTCCCCATGTTAACTTGGAGGGTTTATGATAACACCAATCGAAAGAAGATTTTTTGTCTCATCTAATGATATATGAATTAATTTATTTTTAGGTGTATTTCTCATTATTTTATCAAAAATTCGACAATATATCCAATTAGGTACTAAAATTATGTTAAGCCATGGAAATTTTTCTAAAGAATTGAAAAAGGTTTTGTAACAGACGGAATGAACGCCTATTAAAATTCACGGAAAGTAAATATCGCTTACTAGAGTAACTATTTCCACTGTATACGACTATACGTTGTTTATTATAAATACGTTGCCCTCAGCGAAATACATTTTACAAACAAATTAATGGCAGTTGCCATAAACTGATATTGATTTCGACTTGAGTAACGTTGGAATCTACTTTCTGTCTTCCTAGTCATGGCTTAATTAACGTACATGATTTTGGTAATTGGGTTTATTGCCGAATTTTTTATAAAATAATGAGAAATACACCTGAAAATGAACTAATCCGTATAAGGTGAGAAGAAAATCTCCTTTCGATTGGTGTCATTATAAACCTTCTAAGTTAACACAGGGAGTAACGATCTGCAAAAAACGTTTTTCTCATGTTAATTCCCTATGTTCGGTTTTGGAATATTGACCCGGTATATTGCTTTCTCATTCCCGTAACATAATCTGCGGTTCTTCTTTTCTTATCCCTATATGAATATTTTGTTATAAGCTGTTCCCGGTTTCTCAGTAGACCAAAGTTTTGCATATCCAAACAAGGGAGGCATCATTTCGAATTCCCCTTTTTTACGCAATTTAATATTACTGCTAACAGTTTACTGTTTACATGCTTACAAGTTGCAGGTTCTTTTTCTTTAACTTATTTAATTCAAAGCATAAAATTCTGGCTATTAACCTTCAAGGACACACAGGCAGATTCACACTCCGCAGTGTGTTTTTTTATACGGATATTTTCCTAACGCGAAGGGAACCGGGTTGCCCCCGTGCAATAGTTGTACGTTTCGAGACACTGAGGTAGTATGAACATATTTGCAGATTGGTGCAATTTTTTATTGTAATTTGTGGACTCCGAGTCCACAGGGTTCGTTACAAGATAAGGATGTATTAAACTACTGTGGACGGTTCCGTAACGGGCATATATGTTCCAAAATAGAACGTGTGTTCGGGAAGGTTATTGAAGTCTAACCATAATTGTTTCCTTTTCGCATTTCTTTCACCACTTGGTAAAGGAAACAACCTCACACCTTTAAAATTACTTTTTTTACAACCTGCAACACAACAACCCGCTATATATTTGATTTATTAGGAAAATTCAAATTTCAAATACTTGACAGATATCTCCAAACAGGTAGAGCAATCCCTAACATTAAAGTTACTAGAATCTGGTAACTTCCGCCATTTTTGGGCTAAAATCATGCATTCTCTCTCTAACACACGAGCCCAATGGTTTGCGGTACTCTAGTGACTTTAGTGTACTCTACTGAACTCTTGACCATTTAAACCTGGGCTGCTAGCGTCATATATTTATTAAAGCGCGGTTTAGACGCTACGATCTTGGCTTCGATAAATCGTAACGAAGGGAAGGGTGTTGGGGAGGGGGGGGAACATTCATATTTGTTTTCAAGGGCGGGTTTGTAATGTTATCAATGTAACGCTTATTGCTATTTACGGCTGATTTTGTAAAATTGCGAAGTTTAGGAAGCATGTTATTTGCGTGACTTCATTCACGGGCGAGTTGGCATGCCGCCACAGTACTTACTTCGTATTGCCGCCGTGTATATACAAATGCGACGTTGTCATAGGTTGCTTACAATATGCAACCAAACATACACGTATGTTACATCCCCTTTTCTTTGCATAAGGCTTAATGCGTGTCAAACATTCAAATTAAATTTCTACAATGACATGACATGTAACACAAGTTAAGTTTACATTTACAAATACTAAATAATGTAAAACACAGTAACAAGATGTACAATGAAACAAATGCAGTGTTAATAGCACTTATAAGTCAAGTCTCTGTGGTGCTTTGACAGTTCGTCCGGCTCGAGTAGTTTTCGCCTTATCAGTGTTAGCTGGTGGTGGTTTCGTTCCTTCGTTCTCTGATGTCTCTTCGGTGGTACTAGGATTTTCTTCCTCACTCGGTGTAGGTACGGTCGCCTTTGGTAGAGTCGGTATCTCGGCTATGGTTTTGTGCAGGTGTGTGCTGTTCCTACGGATTACCTTTCCATCGTTTGTTTTGACTACCACTGACCTTGGATTTTGTGTTTCCGCGATTACTTTCCCTGCGATCCAATTTCGATGTGACGTCTCAATTCTTACTGCGTCGCCTGTTTTTAACGGTGTGGTCTCTTCCTTTTTGTTTCGATTAGCGTATTTAGCTTGGACACCTCTCAACACTTGCAACTTCGACTTGACGTTTTCTATCACTGCTGGCTTGAGCATTTCCTCTGTTATCGGTAAGGTTGATCGTGTAATGCGACTCATTAGTCTTTGATTAGGTGCTCCCAACTGATTATTTCTCGTAGTATTTCTGAAATTTAATAATGCCAAGTTAATGTCGGAACCATCCAACCTGCATTTGCGTAGGAGGTTTTTCGCAGTTTGGACTGATCGTTCTGCTAATCCATTTCCGCGTGGGTGGTATGGGCTGGACGTTTGATGGTCGATGTGCCACTCCCGAACAAATTCCTTTAATTTCTTTGCTGAAAATTGAGGACCGTTGCCGTTTCGAGATATTATGGGATGCCGTGGACTGCAAACCATTGCTTTAGGTGGTCAATTACTTCTTCTGATGTCTGAGATTTGAGCTTTCTGAAATCTAAGAAACCAGAGTAATTATCAGTTATTAACAAATATTCGTGTCCTTTAAATTCGAACAGATCACTACCAACTCTTTCCCATGGAAGATTTGGTGTAGGTTTACTTATTACGGTTAAATTGTCATTATGTCTTTGTGTTTGTTCACATACGGCACATTTTTTTACAAAATTGTGAATGTCATTACTCAGTCCGTTCCAAAACACTACTTGTCGAGCACGTTTTAGACAACTTTCTATACCGAGATGTCCCGCGTGAATTTTTACCAACGTTGTTTTAATTAACGCGTTTGGTATTATTATTTTATCACTTTTAAATAATAATCCATCGTAATACGAAATTTCATCTCGAAATGTAAAATAGGGTTTTATGTGATGTGGCAAGCTACGAATGTTTTCGGGAAACCCTTCTTGAACGTACTTGATCAGTTCTTGTAACTGCCGGTCTTGTCTGGTATGTTGTCGAATTTCCTCGGTAGCTGTTTTTGATGCTGCTAGTACTACGCATACTTGAAAATCTTCTTCTGGTGGATTAATTATGTTCGACTGTTCACAGTCTCGGCTCATCGTGTCTGCGATCGGTATGTCTTTGCCTTTCTTGTAGATGACTCTTGGCGCATACTGCGAAACGTCGAATATTATTCTCTGCAGTCTGGGTGGTGCATTCTGTATGGGTTTTCGGAAGATGGATTCCAATGGTTTGTGGTCCGTTTCGATCGTTAGTTCCTTCCCGTATACATATTCGTGAAACTTTTTGCATGCGTACTTCACTGCTAAAGCTTCCTTCTCGATCTGGGGGTAATTTTGCTGGGTTGGTGTAAGTGCGCTCGTACCGTATGCGATAGGTTGGTCTTCTTGCATAAGAACTGCACCCAGGCTTTTGGAGCTAGCGTCGACGGATAAAGTTACTGCTTTAGTGACGTCATAATATCGTAACACCGGTGGTTTTACTAGAAGCGACTTGATTTTCTCAAAGGCTTGGCTTTGGTCTATATCCCAGTACCACGTGACGTCCTTTTTTATCAGCGTTCTCAATGGTTCTGTGATTTTGCTCAAGTTTGGTATGAATTTATTGAGGTATGTCACCATTCCTAATAATCTTCTGAGCTGTATTTTATTTTCCGGAGTTTTTAAGTTGTTTATGGCTAACGTTTTTTGGGGGTCGATTTCTAAACCTTTAGACGTGAATATGTGCCCTAAGAAATTTATCTTTTGCTTAGCGAAAACACACTTCTCTTTATTAAGTTTTAGTCCCGCCTCATTTAGTTTTCGGATAACCGTTTCTGTTGCCGAATTTAATTCTTTCTCCGTTTTTGCGTATATTAGAATATCGTCCATTGAACACTCAGTATTACTCACGTCTTTTAGTACGTGGTTCTTTAGTTCCTGAAAAACTTCTGGTGCTGAACATAATCCGAAGGGTAACCTCAAACAACAATATCTACCCCAGGGGGTTGCGAATGTCAAGTATTTTTGAGTGCGTTCACTAACTTTGACTTGCCAGAAACCTTTCTTGCAATCTAGTTTTGTGAAATACTTGGAACCGTTTACTTTTGCCGAGATTTCCTCGATTGTTTTTAATGGATAATGCCTGCGTAGAATGTTTTTGTTTAAATTAGTAGGGTCAATGCAAACTCTTAGTCTATTGTTTTTCCTAACGATGACCATAGGACTGACCACTGGTGTAGGTTCCGTAATTTTTTTAATTACTCCTAGCTTCTCCATATGATCTAATTCCTTTTTTACGTCTGCCCTGATTGCATGTGGAATTTTTCGTGGTGGCAAGATCGTGAGTGAAGGGTTATC